TCCCACACAGAGAGAGAGAGAGAGAGAGCACTTCCTCTCTCTCTCTCTCTCTATATATATATATATATATATTCTTTAATTGATTTTATATTGACTAAATAACCTTAGCCTCATCTTCTTTTTCTTCAAAAAATCATTTGTAGGCCTATTTCTTTTATTTAATTATGACATGCATCTTGCTTCATCTGCTACTTGATCTCATTTATTTGATATGAGATTCTTAAAATTCAACCCACTCCTGTCCTCCAATATGAAAGAAAATACAGACATCTTTTGTACTTGATATTGAGAACTTTCAGGATGACAAAACCACAAATAAAATATTTAGTAGATTTTTTGAAGCAATTGAGGTCAACTAAGAATAGGTTCAAAACTCTCTAAGAAGTAGGTATGAAGAAAGTAAAAGACTGTGGAGTGTTTATACAGAGGTTCTTTTGATTAAGGAAGAATGTAGTTCTTAGATAATGAACAACTATATTTAAAATATATAGGGATTTTCCTCTATGTAAAACATACATAGTAAAGACTATTGCACTAATTTTGAGTTTTGTACAAATATTAATATGTCTAATTACAATAAGGTTTGGATCAAAATAGACTTATCTGTATATGTTACTTTCATAGTCATGAATATTTAATTATGATGGATTATTTCTTCTTTCTCTTTCCTAGCGCTCCCACACTTTCCCTAAGGGGCCAATTTAAATCTATTGAGTGAGTAGTCTAAAAGGTAATGGTCACAGAATGAAGCTTTAATTTTTAATTGTCTCCTGGAGATGCAGTACTCACTGGAAGAATGTGATGGTGTCAGCAAAGATATTTGGTATTTGGTATTCAAATAAGAATTAATATTCATTCTATGTCATTAATACAATAATTGGTTCTAAAAGAAGAATACCAACTTACATATCAGAATTCACACTTGCTTTATAACTTTTCTTACATTGGAATAGGATAATATGAATGGCTCAAACACATTATTATTTATGTGGTTGGTTTTTTTTAAGATCCAAGATTGTTAAAGATGACTGCTTAATCCCAATAAATGTATGTTATTACCTTTTGCCAGTTCTAATGGTTGAATATTTGAAGTAACTCTGATATCCTTCTTACTAGAATTCTGTAAAGATGTATGACTTTGTAATATTTATACCTCCAATTACATGATATTTAGCTCAAAGATTTTTTTGTCAAAGGTTATGGCTAAGGACTACATAGCATCTATAAAGTGGGCTGTTAATTATACAAGAAGATATCTAATATTTAATTCAATGCTGAAACACTTTGTTTTATATTAGATATGTGAATCTTGAGAAATACTTTTTTTTTAGTTAATTGACTAGTCAGCCTGCCTCTTCCTGTTCATATTTTAAAGAATCAATATTTGAATTCCAGACCATTATCTTAAGTAGAAAAAGGGAAATATGTCCCATTTTATATGCATTTTAAAATCTCATATCTAAAGTACACATGGTGGACTCTAGAAACACACAAATGTTTGATGATCAAACACCAAATTTGGTGCACATTATTAATTCCAACAAACTTCAACTTTTTAAAAAAATTTTAAATTTATTTGTTCTAATTAGTTATACATGACAGTAGAATGCATTTTGACACATCATACATAAATGGAGTATAACTTTTCATTCTTTAGTTTGTACATGATGTAGAGTTACACAGGTCATGTAATCATAGGGTAATAATGTCTGACTTCATTCTACTATCATTTCTACTTCCATACCCCCTCCTTTCCCTTCATTCCCCTCTAATGCAAAGTACCTCTATTCTCCCCCTCCACATACACACTTATTATGAATTAGCACCTGCATATTAGAGAAAACATTTGGCCTTTGGTTCTTTGGCTTATTTTGCTTAGAATAATATTCTCCAGTTTTATCCATTTTCAGCAAATGCCATAATTTCATTATTTTTTGAGGCTGAGTAATATCCTATATATATAAATATATATATATATATATCACAGTTTGTCTATCCATTCATCTGTTTGAGGGCACCTAGGTTGATTCCATAGTTTAGCTATTGTGAATTTAATTGCTATAAATGTTGATGTGGCTGCATCACTGTGGTATATTGAATTTAAGTCCTTTAGGTAACTGAGGATTGGGATAATTGTGTCAAATAGTAGTTTCATTCCAGATTTTCTGAGGAATCTCCTTACTGCTCTCCATAGTGCTTGCACCAATTTGCACTCCCACCAGCAATGCATGAGTGTACTTTTCCCCTACATCTTTGCCAACATTTATTATTTCTTGTATTCTTGATAATTGCCATTCTTACTCAAGTGAAATGGAATCTCAGTGTAGTTTTGATTTATATTTCTCTAATTGCTAGAGATGTTGAGCATTTTTTCATATATTTGTTGAATGGCTGTATTTCTTCTGTGAGGTGTCTGTTCTGTTCCTTAGCCTATTTATTGATTGGGTTATTTGTTTCTTTTGGTGTTAAGTTTTTTGAGTCTTTATATATCCTGGAGATTAATGTGAGGTGTTTGGGCTCTTTATTCACATCATTAATTGTTTCAATTGCTTTTTAGTTTGATTCCATCCTGTTTATTGATTCTTGATTTTAATTCTTGTGGTTTAGGAGTCTTATTAAGGAAATCATTTCTTTAGCCAACAAGGTGGAGATTTGGGTCCACTTTTTCCTCTATTAGGTGACAGGGTCTCTGTTCTAGTGTCTAAGTCCTTGACACACTTTAAGTTGATTTTTGTGCAGTGTGAGAGATAAGGGTTTAATTTCATTTTGCTACATATGGATTTCCAGTTTTCCCAGCACCATTTGTTGAGAAGGCTATATTTTTTCCAATGTATATTTTCGGTGACTTTGTCTACTATGAGATAACTGTAATTATTTGGGTTTGTCTTTGTGTCTTCTATTCTGTACCATTGGTCTATCTATCTGTTCTCGTGCCAATACTATGCTGTTTTTGTTACTATTGATCTGTAGTGTAATTTAAGGTCTGGTATTGTGATGCCTCCTGCTTCACTCTTCTTGCTAAGGATTACTTTGGTTATTCTGGGTCTCTTATTTTTCAAAATGAACTTCATGATTACTTTTTTCTATTTCTATGAAATATGCCATTGGGATTTCAGTAGGAATTCCTTTAAATCTGTATTAACACTTTTGGTAATATGGCCATTCTGACAATGTTAATTCTGCCTATCCAAGAGCATGGGTGATCTTTCCATCTACTAAGGTCTTCTTCTGTTTCTTTCTTTAGTGTTTTGTAGTTTTCATTGTAGAGATTTTTCACCTATTTTGTTAGATTGATTCCAACAGTTTTTCAGGCTACTGTTAATGGGGTAGTTAAATAGAGCTTCATATTTGGAAAACAAATTTATGCATAAAGCAATATAAATGTTGTGTTGTATCAGGTGTCACATGCTGGCTTTAAGCCCAAACAGGGAATACAAAGAATCCTAGAAGGTCAAAAATGATAGTCTCTATGGAGAACCTATGCCTTCTAATAATTTCAGAATTTTTTCCATGTGAATATCTAGGCCTAGTCTTAACAGTTTGTCAAAAGCAACTACAGATTCAAATTTTTATACAAAACTTTCAGTTTTTTTAAGCATTAAACTGACAAACAAAGCTAAAACCATTTAGACTGATCAGAAGTAGATCTATGGCTGATAATTTCTAATAGAGCTGCATTTAGCACAATGGAATCTAAGTTATCAGTTATAACACCACAAAGAGATATAGGAGGAACTGTAGATAATTTCTGGGAAGTATCAGCCCAATATGGCCACATCAGGCTTAACATAATAATAAAATGCTAATAATCATTGGAAAGAAAAGTGTTAAAAGTGAAGTTAAAAAAAGTTTGGTCACAGATTTGAACACATGGATCAAGCAAATAGTGGTTCTTTTGTCTATCACACCTTAGCATAGAATGAAATTCTAGTAGGCCAGAAAGAGGCAACAACCAAATTGTCTAGATCAATGATATCCATGTTACAGAGGAAGGGAAAAGGTTGAAGTTGAGGTCTAAAGGCAAGAAGAGTAGGGTTTTTTGGTTTTGTTTCTCTGGAAGACAAGAATTCAAAGGTAATAATATTGGGGACTATAATAATCTATATGCAATAATTGAACCTTTGTTTTTTTTATAGGATTCTGGAACAATCATAATTCACATCTTCTTTTAAAATTAAAAAGAGAAGAAAATGAAAGGGGAAAAAGGGAAGAAAGAAAATTTGCTTACCTTCAGTCATTATACAATAAATATATACATAATAAGGGTATAAAAGTCTATATAAGTAATTCTCAAACTTTGGCATACATATGAATCATCTAATGAGTGTATCAAAATATGTATAGTTGGGGTCTACATCCCAGAGATAATGATTCAGTAAGAATAGTTTAGTGGTCTCGAAATCTGCATTTCTAAAAGTGCCCTAGATTATTGTGAATCATTAGTGATGCAAGGAGATTCTCCTTTGAGAAGCATCAGGTTAGATAAGAAAAATCCCCTGTCAAACATTGAATCGACTGGCACCTTGATGTTGGATTTCCCAGTCTCTAGTATAGAGAAATAAATTAGAAATAAAGTTTTGTTGCTTATAAGCCATCAATTTAATGACTGCTGTTACAGCAGCTCAAACGGGCTAAGAAGATGAAGTGCCTCGACCTTCACTGAAGATGAAATAACAGATCATGTGTACATTGGTGATTATAACTAGACACTGTGCTTCTTGTTTGTGGTAGTGGAAAGGATCAATGTAAAAAACAATTTGAGAGAGACTGGGGCTGTGGCTCAGTGGTAGAGCACTTGCCTTGCATATGTGAGGCACTGGGTTCAATCCTCAGCACCACATTAAAATAAATAAACAAAATAAAAGTGTTGTGTCCATTTATAAATATATATATATATATATATATATATATATATATATAAAGTTTCAAAAAATAATTTGAAACTACAATCTGATAAATACCTGATAGGTTAAGGCAAAAATGAAATATTGAGAACTTACACTTGAAGTACTGTCCTGGGGTCTCCAACTTCACCTCCATCACCAATTGTCAAGGTATCATAGCCAATCTCCAGATCAAATTCTTCAAAATTTATCTGTATAACCTAGCAACAAATAGAAATGCCTTGAACATAATGTATTATATAATGTAAACAGGAAAGAAAGCAATAACAAAAATATTCAAAACACATATTCGGATATATACAATTTCACAGAATGGTAGCAAATCATGTCAGAGTATTCCTAAAGTTCAATCTTCATATTGTCATGGCTTTTACTTGCTATATTAAAACTTCTTTACTAAGTTTTCAATGAATTATATGGATTCTGTTCATGGAATACTCTTATTTGAAGCATCTGAAGCATGATTAATACAAATCTACTTTGAAAAGACTTTATGAAATGTACATGTAGGTGGAGAATGGTTTTCTACATATTTGCATATATTTTTTATAAAGTTAACATGGAAAAACAATGTGCTATTTCCATTAAGTAGTAAAGCTTAAAATATGTTAGAGCTAAAAATGAATCTTGATGTTTACATTTAATGGTATCACGTTTATTTTTGTGTATCCTTTAGTAACAAAATCCCTCAAATATATTAAAATTTACTGGTAAAACTGGAAGCACATACTTTCAGAGAAACATTGTACCATAATATATAATTTAAAATTAGTTTTTACTGAAATACATGTATTTGTACAAAGTTTATACATATATGAAAAAATCAAATTTAATTACATTGCATTTATTAAGTACTATAATATAAAGAATAAGGTAATTAAGTATCAGTAAAGAAATTATATAAATATATATAATTATATTTATAAATAAATATAATTTATATTATTATATAAATAATTAAGTATCAGTAAAGAAAATATATAAATTATATAAATACAAGCAAACAATAAATTATAATTAAGTATTATTCATAATTTGATAAAATATATGTCTGAAGTTAACAACATTACTAGAGAATAAATAAAAAATCTCTTTAGTAGTATTCATAATCATTTCTTTGTTATGTGAATTATTGAAAGATTTTATGAGCTGTATTTTTAAACAGGAATAAAAAAACAAGCTTTGAGGATGCTTATTTCTTGTTTTTAAAATATTTTTATATTAGCATTGACTAAAGCAATTTCTTTAATATAAATAACATACATTAAAAAACTAAATTATGCATTTTATGTGGTAATAATTTTTGTATTGTTTCTTCATTCTACTTAGAGTTGACTATAGATAGTTTTAATTAATAATTGTCTGTCAATAGAGACGTAAGTTCCCGACCCCTTGCATTCATAAGCATCATGAGTATAAGCAATATTATACATTTTCTAGTTCAATTTTCAAGTGTATCTTGGTGATATACTTGCTAAAGGTAATAATAAATCTAAAAATCATTTTACAACCATTTGCCATATGATTTTCCAAAACTGGCTTACCAATTCAGATATTCAAAATTGTAACATTAGATGTATTTATTTCTACCAATTTTATGGGCACAAAAATCACCTTCTTTGCATTTTTCATTACTAATTGAGTTGTCTATCTTTTAATTGTGTTAATTTGTCATTTATGTTTTCTGTGACATGGTCATTTGTATTGTGGCAGTTGTTTTTATGTTTGTGTGCTGGTTATTGATTGCAAGAACTGCTTATGTCTTATATTAGGTAAATAGATAATAAAATTTGTAATTTTAACCATTTGAACTGCACATTTCAGTGGCATTAATTACATTTACAATGTTTTAAAACTATCTCTAATACCTATTTCCAAAAGGTTTTCAGCAGACCAAACCCAGACTCTTTCACCATTAAACAGTAACTCTCCATTTCTTGCTCTCGTAGCATGTGGTGACTTTTAAACTACTTTCTGAATTTTCTTATTCTAGTTACTTTAAATACATGGAATCATGCCATGTTTGTCTTTATATCTAGTTTATTTCACTTAACATGAGGTCTTCAAGTTTCATTCATATTGTGGCATGGATCAGAAGTTTACTTATTTTTATGGCTAAATAATATTTCATTGTATTTACACTAGAGTCCCTGGCTAAAGAATAGGCTGCCATCATCAAGATTGCAGACTCTTCTTGAAGTGGATGGCCCAAAGAAGGTCAAATGACACAAAAACTTTTCCAGTATTTTTATGTTTTTTTTGTTTGTTTGTTTGTTATTCAGCATTTGGTTCTTTGTTGCAAACCTTGGACTACTTTTTAGAGTGTGAGAAAGTTGATTCGAACAGTTGTGGTTACTATTTTAATGTTTCATTATAGGAACTAGGTGCTGCTTATTCTGTCATTGTGTGTCATCAGCACTACAGTATTTTTTAAATAGTAAATCTCACCAAAAAAATTATTCATCTAATCTTTCCTAAGATTTTGTCTTATTGATTCGTGGTATAGTATTGCTGGTGGGTGTGCTGTTATGCATATAAGGATTAATGCTTAAATAATTAATTTTCTGATTTTATTCTTTTCAGATTAAAACTTTAAAATCATCAATATTTCTCTGATACCATTTTGGAGCATTCACAATTTTTGGTATATAGATTATCCTATTTCTATATTATTTCTAAGCATTCTTGAATTTCCTTTATCTTTTCTTCTTTGACAAATGAAATACTTAAAAAGTCCTAATTATGTTTTAAAAATGAAAATGTACAATCTTCATTTACTTGTTAGCTTCTAATTAAATTTCACTGTGTCAGAAAACAAGTTAAGGTAATGATAATTCTTAGAGTTTTTTGAGATATTTTTATTAGTACAGTATGCCTACTTCTGTTGCTATTTTTGTTTTTTATTTATTTTTTAAATTTATATATGACAGCAGAATGCATTACAATTCATATCATACATTTAGAGCACAAACTTTTCATATCTCTGGTTGTATACAAAGTATATTCACACCAATTCATGTCTTCATACATGTATGTAAAAAGGGAAATGTAGAGGGAGCTCATAAAAACTGAAGGGAAATCAGTAGAATAGAAGAAAAGGAACAGGAGGAGTAAGGAGAAAGGAGACAGGAAAAACAATGAGGAATGTTATTGACCAAATTATATTGTTAGATTTGTGCATGTATAAATATGTTAGAAAAAAACCCCACCATTATATATAAACATAATGAACCAATAAAAAAAATGTGGAAAAATACTTCAAGGAAATAGGCAAATAATAAAAAATAAAAATAAAAAAATAAAGTCCATTATTTGATAGGCTTTTATAGCACTTTTGTCTCAGTGATTTTTTAAAAAAATATTTATTTTTTTAGTTGTATACAATACCTTTATTTTGTTTATTTATTTTTATGTGGTGCTGAGGATAGAACCTAGGGCCTCGAATGTGCTAGGCGAGCACTCTATCACTGAGCCACAACCCCAGCCCAGTGATAAATTTATACATAAAATGTCTTTCAAGACTTGTTTCTGTACTTATTAACATTTTTATGATTATTTTGTAGTAACTGTAGATCAATGTTACATTGAAGTTCATGTTTTCTTCCCTCCTTCCCTCCATCCCTGTTTGCTTCCTTCCTTCCTTCATGTCCTCCTTCCTTTCTTCCCTCCTTTTTTGAGAAGCAGCCATTGAAGTAAGTTTTTTAGTGTGAATCTATTAGTGATAAGTATTTTTATTTTTTGGTCTAATCTGAAAACATCTTTCTTTTACTCATAGTTCTGCTGATTAGTGTTAATTATATAATTTCAGGTTAGTAATTATTTTTTTCCATATATTCTGCAGACACTGTTCACTTGACTATTAGTGTTACTATTGTAATTCCCACTCTTACACAAATTATAATTGTAATTTCCCTTTGGCTTTTTAAAGATTTTCTCTTTGTTGCTTATTGTTCATTAGGCAATGCTTAGGTGCACATTTATTCTGCTGGTATCAATTATCATTTCTATGCTTCTGAACTCAAGACAGTCATTAATTATAAAAACCTCTTCAAATTAGTTTCCCTTCTACATTCTTTCACTTTTTTTCTCTCTAGAAATATGTATTTATATAAATTAGATCTCTTTATCTCATCTTCTATGTCATTTAGTTCATCTTACATGTTTCCATTTTCTTATTTCCTATCTTCTAGTTACATAATTTCTTGAGATCTACCTTTGGTTCATTAATTCTTCATTAGGACACTTATTGATTATTTAAATTTCAAATATATTATTTCAAAAAAGTTCTATTTTATGTTTTTAAACTGTGAATATACATTTTTATAATCTTTTGCTCTTAGTCAGTTTTTAAAATTTTATTGTTAACTTTTAAGCCTTTCAAATGTAGGTACTATTTTTCTTTTTAAAATTCACTTATCTTTAATTTTACACATTTTTGATATACAACATGATAGCTTGAAGGAAATTAACATATTCATCACTTTACATTTACCTTTTATTTTTCCCCGTGAGGTTTAAGAGGACCTATGATCTAATTTTGTAGAAAATTTACAGTACACAATAAAGCATTACTAATAATATTCCTTAATTTTTAATGAGTCAATATTACTGAGTCATTATAAACTTTGATCTCTCCTGTTTCCTCTATTCCTCCCTCTCATTCTACTAACTATGTTCTAACCTCTCTTCATATATATTTGATTTTTTAAGATTCCACATATAAGTGAGATCATGTAGTATTTTTCTTTCCATTTGTGCCTTTTTTCACTTATCAAAATATGAGGAACTCGAACAACTCAGTGGCCAAAATAACCAAATAAATAACCCAATCAAAAAATGGGGACAGGTCTCGGGAAGATGGCGGCGAGGGGAGTGCATTACCCCCGTGTGCTGCTTCACTGTGTGGGAGTATGACAAGTCAGGACGGCTAAAGGATATCTTGTTAGGAATTTCCAGCAATAGTGGGGTGCGCCGGAACCTGGAGGAAGGATTTCCATCGCATGAGGATCGGCTACGGGGACTCAAACGCGAGAGGTTTGTCGCACGGAGGGTAAAACTGCTTATTCAGCAAATCGCCCTGCGGCTAGAGTCTGCAACGCGCGCTGGGATAGAGACGCAGGGTTACAGTGCTGCAGTTTCTGCCAGCCGCGCAAGCACCGCACTCATGGCTGAATTCTGGATTAGAGACGGGGGAAGGAAG